TTGGTACCATTGAAGACTTTGCTATGGTTATGTATTTTGGTTACGGGCAGGTTTGCATTCTTACATTACATTCCTGGTTATCGAGATAAAATGTTGCCTATTTACTGTTCCCAGCTGCTTCATTTGGTCACATGTTTCTTGATTAAATCCAGCTGTGTTCTGATGGATCTTGTCTGATGTAAATTGTTCATATTGTGTAATTATATTAATGTCTGCATCAGTTTCATTTGTCAATATCATTACACTTTGTGGGGATGAGGGACAATTTCACCCCATGACACTGACAATAGTGAGGCCTCACCAAATACATTCTCCACTGCTACTCTGCACTGCTGCCCTGTGTCATTTAAAGCATAACAAACTCTTCATGCTTTCCCGATAGCAGTTCCGAGTATCAATAAAGAAAATGAAGGCATATCCAGTTCTTTGTACGTAGTAGCAAACGTATATATTCTGTATATGTAGTTAATAGGTACAGGATAAATACTGTACATCCAGGTGGGGCTGCACATTGGTGGTGGTGAAGGAGAGTTCCCATTACCTGTAAAGAGCTTTGAGTGGAGTATCCAGAAAAGCACTGTATATGCAAGTGTAAGGAATTATTTTGTAACTGAGTGCTCCTACCATTTGAACTTTTATCCTGAATGTCCTCCTGCAAATCATATTGCAGTGTATTGATTTAGGAATTGCACACTGTGATAGGGAAACTATGGGCTTCATTGAGCTCATACTGAAGAGGAAGATTGATTCTCAATCACATGAAACAAAACCTGAAAGAAAACAAACATACAGTATTAGACCTTTCCCCATGGCCTGTGACGTATTGATCAACCTCCTAAATCATGAACCCATCATGCTCTTGAGAGAGTTGTTGTCAAGTCTGTATTAATGCTTCAAAAGATGTAACAAATTGGTTCGGGATAGCGTGTGTCCAGGCGATCTTTAGTATTTTCTTTTTCCTTTGTGTTTAATAAATACAAGTTAAATGCTCTTTGTTTAAAGAGTATTGTGTATGTTTTCTTGTCAGTTTGTTTTCTGACTGCACCTCAGTTTATACAAGCTATTTTTAAATGCTTATTTTCCTTCACTGACTG